CAGGGTGCAGCAGGGGTCAGTGCTGTGGGGCCCCGACTCCTCTCCGAACCCCCTCACAGAGGGGATGGTGGGTCTGCCCTTGGGGGCCTGAGGTCCGCTCTGACAGACAGGCTGCAGAAGCTGGCTCCAGGAGCTGAATCAACCATTATCAGGGGTAATGGGAGGTCCAGCACCAGCTCTGAGGAGCAAGGGCACCAAGGCAGGGCACAGGGACCTAGGCCAAGAGCAAGCAGGACCAACAGTCACAGGGGCTTGGCTGTCCGTAACCCTCACTGCAGCCGCTCCACTGACAGCGTTGTCCCCATGTGCTCCTGAGGACACAGCTGAGACGTGCCGCATCAGAGAGGGCGAGAGAGGCGCTCATTTCCCTGGCACCTTCCGACTATATTCGGGCCTGTGCTGGTGCCACGTTTTCAGGCCCAGGGGAGAGATGGGCATTTTCAGGGAAGTAGAGCCCAGTGCAGGTGCAGGGTAGTGAAATCAGGTGTCAGAAATTGCCCAAAGGGTTGATGTCCAGGACTGAGATGCATTTGTTCTGGGTGGCCCCGGGGCCGCGGAGGGAGCAGCCTCGGGAGACAGGCTTGAGGCAGAGACTTCCCGTGGGTCCGGTGTGGTCTCCAAAGGCAGACGAGTACACGCACCCACACACCGGCTTTTCTGAAGGAGGACAGGAAATGAATGGAAAGATACACATTCAAATTGTAACAGCACCTGTCTCTAGCTGGTAAGATAATGAATGATTTAAGTTTTTTCCCTTTTTTGCTTACCAATAATTTCTACAATGTCCATAATATACCCAAAATTCCTTTTTTATGGTAAACTATGTATAACATAACATTTAGCATTTTCACTGTTTTTAGGTGTGTGAGTCAATGGCATTAAGTTTTTGTTAGATATTTTTTCTTATCCTCACAGAAGGACATTTTTTCCTTGCTTTTTAAAGGGAGAGGAAGGGAGAGAATGAAGCATCAATCAGCTGCCTCCCACATGCGCCTGGACCAGGGATTATATGTGCCCGGACTAGGAATCGAACCCACAGCCCTTTGGCTGTGGAATGATGCTCCAACCAGCTGAACCACACCAGCCAGAGCGGCCTGGCGTTCCCTATGCACCTTGCTATGCTGCTCCAGGAGTTTCATCATCCCCCACATAACTCCAACCTCCTTCCATGAACTCCCCGCTCCCTGCATCTGCCATTCTACTTCCTGTCTCTCTGGACTTGACCGCTCCAGGCTCCTTGCAGGTGTGGGGTCGTACGATATTTGTCTTTTTTGGTCTGACTCATTTCACTTCTTGGCACAATATTTTCAAAGTTCATCTACGTGGTAGCATGTGGCAGAATTTCACTCCTTTTCAAGGTTGAATAACATCCCACTGTGTGTGTGGATTCCACCCACCTGCCAATGGACATTTGGGTCGTTTCCACCTGTCGGCTGTCGTGGATGAAGCCAGTATGAACACGGGTGAGCAAGCACTTCTTAGAGACCCTGCCTTCTGTCCCTTTGCACACATACCCAGGATTGGACTTGTTGGATCACGTAACCATTCCACGTTTAACTTTTTTAGAAGCTGCCGCACTGCTTTCCACAGCGACTGCATCAGTTCACACGCCCGCCGGCCATGAACAAGGGTTCTGATTCCTCCACAGCCTTGCCAACACTTGCATTTTCTGGGTTTCTTTGATAACAGCCATCCTAAAGTGTGTGAAGAAGTATGCACTGTGGTTTTGATTTGCATTATCCGAATCCAAACAACTTATTTTTAACAAAAACAACTTATTTTCATTTGCATTTCCCTAGTCCAAACAGCCCAATTCTATGTGAAATCCATTGTCCTTTGCTTCCTGATAAAATGGACCACTCTCCTGCTCATACTTACCCTCTACATTGTTTTGTAAATGATGTTAAAACACAATGAGATAAAATTGGCCATCTTTATCATTTGTTAAGTATTAAGCAAATTCACATCTTTGTGACGTAACACAAATGACCTTTATAATAATAAAAAGAAACAAAAATCTACTTAAAAAGAAATCAAGAGGTGGGTTGTCAGCTCCCATGATGCTCACACACTTTGGCTTAGTCCAGGCAGGGACTTGCACCCACTCACCGAGACCCTCCAGGGTGCCAGGTTCTGGGCCAGGCAGGGGGCTCCGAGGTGCCCCTGAGTTTCAGCCTCTGCCGGGAGCAGTTATGCCCAAGGCTGCTGGGCCCAGAGGGCCACCCCGTTGTGCGGGCACAGTGCTGGGAAAGGCGGCACAGAGGAGGTGGCAGGGCTGGGCATCAAAGGTGTGATGTCTCCACCTGCAGAAAGGAACGGGCTGTGGCAACACTGGTCACAACGGCCATTTCAGAAGCATTTGTCTGTTTATGTCCGTGTCCCTTCTTCGATGATAAGCTTTGCAAGAGCAGGGCTGGGTGCTCTTGTTCTCCGGGGGGACCCCAGAGAACAGGATGAAATGAATACTTGCTGAGTAAGTGAGGGGTTGAGGAGGAGAGGGGGAGTCTCCTTCCAGAATCTTGGCCCCGAGAGGCAGACAGCATGGCTGTGCTCTGCGGGGAAGGGACTGGAGGGACGCGTTCCACGGGTGATGGAGACAGGAGTGGGCCAGATGCTCAGCGCAGGGGCCCGCGGGGAAGGGGAGTCTGGAGACCCAGGTATGAGGGAACGAAAGGCCATGATCACTGTGCAGAGGCCCTGGAGAAAGGGCCCCTTTCTCCAGAAGGAGATCACTGGAAGGAGAGGGGTCTCCCTTTTTTGTGAGACTCAGGTGGTCAACACGAAAAAGACAGAAAATGCCAGTTGTTGACAAGGGCGGGAAGCACCTGGAACGCTCACACACTGAAAGAGCGTGTCCTGCTGTTACTCTAGGCTTCAGATGGCACTCCGGTTGCTGGCTGGCTCAGGCTGCCATCTGGGCCAGCCAAGGGGGCCCCAGCATCTGCACTTAGGCTACCAGACATGACATGTTGCATGTCCAGAGCGGTCTGCCAAAAAGGGCCTGAATTCATGGGACAGGGCACAGTCGAGAGCCCAGACTTGTCTCTGCTCACTGGCCCCCAAACTGTCGACTTTGCCCATGCGCCCCCTTGCCTCTCATCTCAGGTCCCGTAGTTGGCAGGACTTCCGTCAACGGAAGGTGAACCCTCTCTTTTCAGATAGCTCGTGGGATGGGCACTGCCAAGCTCCCTCGACCCCACCCCTGAACACTGTGGTGAAGCCCATGCATCAGGGGCCTTTCCGCGCTCCGGCTCACCACCAGCATTGCAGCCCCGAGCTGAGGTCCGAGACTCAGGGCACAGCCCCGCCCACCAGACGCGCAGCACGTGGGCCCACTCCCAGCCCCCAGCTGGCAGCTCGGCTTGATGCTTGCACAGCTCAAGTCGGGGGCAGGCAAATGCTGACTGTGTGTAGTTTGTATTTTTATTGCATCTTCCTTCTCAAGTTCAAGGACCCCGTCACTGAGTTAGGAAATGCTGCTTTGCTCCCTGTGGGGAGCTCCCTGTGCTCGGCAGTTCCTGGGAGGAGGCCGCAGTCTGGAGACGAGAGCTAGCTGAAGGCGGGAGCCTCGGAGGGGACTTGCTACCAGGGAGTGTGCCCTCAGGAGTCACGTGGCATGCCCTCACTCTCAGTGCCACAGGGTCTCGGAAGTGAGAGGGGCCACAGAGGAGTGGGGTGGGCAGGGAAGACCCTGGAGCAGGACCCCCAAGGTGGGGAGCAGAGGATAGAGGAGACCACCACAGGTGAGCAAAACAACAACTGGAACTGCATGCACATTGTCAGAACATACGAGCGGGCCCAGCCTGGGCCCGTGTGGGAGGGGCCCACCGGCTGCCCTTTCACCCACAGATGGCAGGCCTCCTTCAGCCCCACCCAGGTCCCCAGGACACATGCTACACTGTCCCCAGCCTGACCACAGCCCCCACATGAGCCATGTCCTGTTCAGACTGGCTTAGAAACTGGGAAGTACCTGGCATGGGGCCCTCCACTTCCTCTACTTGATCGCCTGGGGCTCCGGGGGGACCAGCAAGGGGTCATTTTTGTGGCCAGGAAATGTCTGTGGCAGCTGTGGACACCACAGGCCTTCCCTAGACCCAGAATTCTGAAGTGCAGGCCACATTCCCAGTGATTCTCAGCTGCCTGAACTCCAGCTCCAGTCCCTTGCTTCTTCCTGGTAGGCTCATCCTGGTGTGTGTATGCCAGGGAGGAGGTGAAGGTTGTCTTTCCCGAGTCCATGAGGTGCCCTCAGATCCAATATCCTCTAAGATCAAGGGCAGGACACTGAGAAACAGAGCAGTGGATACTCACTTGTGGTTTAGTTGAAAGCTTTTCAACCTTGGCCGCCCATCACAGCCACCTAAGGAGCTTCTTAAAAGTACTCACGTCCAAATACTTCAACAGACACTCCGCAAAGAGGGGATCTAAGTGGCCAATAGCCAGATGAAAAGGTGCTCGACTGTGTTAGTCATCAGGGAAATGCAAATGACGCCACACTGTGATGCCACGCCATTTCACCAGAGTGGCTCGTGGGAAGAAGACAGAAAATAGCAATCACTGGCAAAGGTGTGGAGCAGCTGGCACTGCCTCACATTGCGGCAGGAAGTTGCTTTGTAGAGTCACCTGGCCTAAGGTGTTAAAGCCGAAAGCACTCTATCCATACCTGCCCAGCAGTTCTACTTTGGGGTCTGGACCCGACAGGAACGCCCCCACAGATGCCGCTAGGATGCTCATAGCAGCAGTGTTTGGAAGAACCCCGACTGCAAACAGCCATCCGAACACCCCATGTCGGCCAGCAGTAGAACGGACAGGTAAACTGAGGAACATCCATAGGGTCTGAACCCTATGGACGAACTGACGACATGGATGAGCAACAGCTTGGGCAAATCTCACAAACACAGTGCTGAGTGGAGGAAGCTGGACCCCAAAGCACATCTACTGTGTGACTCCATTTACAGAAGGTCAAGCTCAGAAATAGGTGAACCTAATTTCTGCCGTTAGAAGTGAGAACGGCGATCACCTTTCATAGCAGGAGGGGATGCTGGCGCTGTTCTCTTTCTTGATCTGGTTGCTGGTTACTCGAGGTAAGTTCACTTTATGAAAATTCTCTGTGCTTTGCACTTCAGGCTTTTTTCTTTCCTCCTTCCTTCCTTCCTTTTTTTCTTTGCATGTATGTTATCCTTCAATAAATATATATATATATATTTTAAACTCAGATCAATTCAGTCAGTATCTTTAAGGTGAGGATAAGACCCAGGCATCAAGATTTAAAAAAATATATTTTATTTATTTTTATTTTCCTAGAGAAGGGGAGGGAGGGAGAAACAAAGGGGGAGAAACACCGATGTGCGGAGGCGCAAGAGAAACACTGACACCTCGACCAGTTTTCTCTCAGGTGTGACACACCGGGGACCTGGCCCACAATCTAGGCATGTGTCCTGACCAGGAATCCAACCGGTGACCCTCCAGTTTGCAGGCCGATGCTCAATCCACTGAGCCACACCAGCCAGGGCATTATTTTTTAATGTAATAGATGATTGTCATGTGCAACCAGGATTGAGAGCCCTTGGCTTCATTTCTCAGGCAAAGCAGATCCACTCAAAGGCTTCAAAGGGCCCTGACAGAAGGCACTTCCAGCCCGGTGGAATGGCATGCTGGGCAGGCGGAGCGGGTAAGCGGCGCCCTGTGCTGTGGTGAGCAAGCCCCCTGCCTGGGCACAGGAAGCCCTGGAGCCGCTGTCGCAATGCGGCTGTTGAAAGCTGGTTGCATCAGTTGGTGTGTAAGGGGAACGAGGTGGGCCCCAGCCCCACCCCAGGGCAGTGGCTCACTCAGCACAGCTGCTGCAGGGTGATTTATAGAGAAGTGGCAGCTGGGTGTCCCAGGGAGGGCCACCAGGGCCAGATGCACTGCCCAGGCTCTGACACCTGGTGGGGGGAGGGGCGGCCGTAGGACTCACTCGGGGTGCCTGTGTTTGTGGGTAACACCCAACTCTGGGCTCCAGATGATGCCCAAACTCTCCGTCCTCTGGGTCCAGATTGGGAACTTGCAACATCGCGCTGAGGACCGACCACACTGGCCTTGGCTCAAGTGCCTGGGCTGAGACTGCTCCTTCCTCTTCGTGTGGTTTGTGGCAGCCACCCTCGCCGTGGCCAGCCTTCAGCATACTCTGGTCAAACTGCATGCAGCTTGGCCAGGCGGGACAGGACATGGGCTTAGGCATGACACAGGTGTCCTGCCTCCCTGGGCCCCAGCCATCCTCCCAGAAGTGCAGAGAGGCCTCAGAAGCTTCCCCCAGCCCTCCGGGCCCTCCACCGCCAGCTGCGGGCTGGCCCCCTGGCCGTGTCCCTGCACGTCTGCCTCCCAGCATCGCGTCTGCAGGGCAAGAGTAGACAGGAAGGGGCCCGGGTCTCATGCACCTCTGCTGGGAGGGACGCTTGCCGGGGCCTCACGGAGTGGCGTGGGCTGGAGGAAGACAAGCTAAACTGATAGAGGTTACATCACTCGAGGGAAGCCACCAAACATTAAAAACGAACAAATCTGACTCCAACTGCCCAGCCCCCACTCCCCAAATTAAAAAAAAAAATCCCTAGAAGTGAAAGAATCAGGAATAAGGAAGCTGGAGTATGAGTGCCTCCCTCCCGCTTTCCTGGCTTCAGTCCCCTCTCTGTGAAATGGGGGTTCCTCCCAGGCCTTTCCTCTTGCCCAGGCAGACTGGGGGGTCCTGGCTCTGCCAGAGGGGCCTGGGCCTTGAAGGCCGGGCCCGGACTGCCCCTGGCTGGGAAGTCACCTCCCTCGTCTGTGAAATAATACCACAGTGGCAGCCCCTGCCAGCCAGCCAGCCAGAGGGGCACTACCCCTTCCTGTTGCCTGCTTTAAGAAGCATTTAAAAATATTTTCTTTCTGTGCTTCAGGAAATGGGTGGCCAGAAAGAATTCTTGATTCTATTTTTTCCCTAGATACGTAACATGTGCTTCAAAGGGGTATGCAGATTAAACACAACCGCGAGCCAGCGGGGAGTGCCCTGGGTGACCTTGGAGGTGGCCCTGGTCCGCTGGGCTCTGGCTGCTCCTCGGGGTGTGAGGTGCATGAGGTGTGACGGGGCAAGGCCGTGGGTCCCCCACTGCCAGCTGATCCTCATCGCAGACCAGCGCACCACACTTGTCAGAGCAGAAGCGTCAAAGAAGTCGCTGGCCTGAAAGCACAGAGGCCTGGCTAGTGGGTCTGAGGGACGGCTAACGTCACATCTGGGGAATCCCACTCACCCACAGCCTGGATGTCCCCCAGACACACTCTTCACCTTGACCCAGTAAGGATCTGCTGTCCCGGAAGGACGACTACAACTGCTGACGCTTCCCAGTCTGCAGGTCATCATAAATTCTCTCTCCGGACTCCTTTTACTTACCTGCTAACTTTTCTTCTCAAAACACCCCAGTAAATAACACTTCCCCATCCAGAGGAGTCACTAGTCCAGTGCCCTCTGTGATGTATTGTTGTTAAAACCAGAAAGTGAATTTTAAAACCCCCCGAGGAACCCAGAGGTGTCTGACTTGGGACTCCCAGGAGGGGCTCCCAGGCCACTCAGGGACTATTCTTGTTGTAGATGCAAATCAGGGGTTTCTGGGTGTGGTCACAGTCCCAGAGGTAACAGATGCTCACCCCAGGGGCGGGTGGGAAGGGGCCGAGGGAGGGCCTGGGCGGGGGGCCTGAGGGAGGGTGGGGTGGTTAGTGAAACTACAGAGAGCTGCAGGAGCCGCTGCGGGGAGGCATGGTGGCTTTAGGGTGACAGACACTGACCCTGCTGACCTGAGGCCCGGCAAGGGAGGGAGCTGGGGATAAAGCACCCCAACATTATTCTGCAATCTCCTGCGGGGGCTTCTGTGGGTCGTAAGCAGCTGGAAGCCTGAGGAAGCGAGTCTGGTGGCTGCGGTCCACACAGGGCTGGCTGGGGGGCAGGGTAGGCAGCGGGCAGGGCAGAGGGGGAATACCTGCACAGTCATCTGGCTTAACCATTTAAAAGGAGTCCCTTGGAAGTTAATGTGCTAGAGTGCGGCACCCTCATCACACAAAAATGTGTCAAGGGGCAGCCAGGGACAGAGGTGACCATGAAGAAAGATTTAAGGAATCGTATCGCAGTGATCCTGGTCCCCATCCTGGAGGGACCAATAGCTCTACTTAGCTTAATAATTTCGAGGTAAACATGTATATTTTAAAAAAGGTAAAATGTGGGCACCGTACTACTTCACAGGGCTCAACAGGGCAGGGGGACATGAACACACTTAGAGTCATCTTCACCCAAAACAAGGGCAACGGGCCCTCCGTGAAACGGCTGTTCACGCCCGATCTCCTTTCTCTCCCAGGTGCCATCAACACGCCAGGCGAGAAACACCAAGGGACAAACCCTCCAGAGCAGAGAGAGCAGTGAAGGGCGAAGGAGAGATTGCAGCACACTCCGGGAGGCTGGGAAGCATGGCGGCTGCCTCGGGGGATGCTCGTCCCTCAGGGGGCGGATGCCGACAGGAGGGAGGCAAGCTGCTGCGCCCCCAGACCCTGGAAGGGCTCAGACCCCAGGGGAAGACCAGGTGTGATGGTGGTGGGGGTCAGGTATAGGAGGGGGCAGGGTAAGAGGCCAGGGAAACTGGTCGGAATCCTCCCAGGCCCTGCTCCACTCTCTGCCACGCACAGCAGGAGACTGAGGACACTGAGGACTGAGGACACGGGAGACTCAGGCAGAGGAGAGGCCGATGGCCAGGAGGATGAGAAGGGGAGGGGGAGGGCGCAGTCTGGGCGGAACAGAGGACTCAGCGTCCTCCCTCCTCACACCCTTCCCTGCCCCAGGCGTACACTGATCACTCTGCACTGGATTATGGTGAGTTTAACACAGAGCTGCAAGTTTTTTTTTTAAATTTTTCTCCCACTGAAAGGTGGGGCTTTGTTTCCTTCCTGGAACCTGGGCGGGCTGTGCTGCTGTGGAGGTGATGCTACCTGATGGCCAAGGCCAGGCCAGAAGAGGGGACACGGCTTCCGCGAGGCTGGTCGGGACTTCCGCACAGCAGCCCTGGGCCACCCCACCGGAGGTCCGTCTCTCAGGCGCTGTGGGAGATAGGCCACGGGTCATCTTTCTGATCACCAGGCCCAGAGGAGGCCAGGGAAGAACCTCTTTGGGGTGGACCCTTGGGTGCCAGCTCCTCTACCTCCCACAAAGTCATTCCTCTAGGCCTGGGCCCCAGACCCTGCAGCACAGAGGAGAGTTGGGCCTTTTCCAAATTCCTGACACGCGGCCTAATAAAATGGTCGTTTATGCTGCTAGGTTCTGGGGTGGCTGGTCCTGCAGTCACAGATGAGTCGAACAAGGAGTTGGAATGCTTATCTTGAGAAGATGAATGGCTCATAGGCCTTAAATGGGCAGGCACCCCCCCCCCCAACACTCCGACTCGGGATGTTTGGCAAAGTCTACAGATAATTTTGGTTATCACAGCTCTGTGGGGGGCTTCTGACTGGGCAGAGTTCAGAGACGCTGCTGAACGTTCTACAACGCACCAGAGTCTGACACAGAGAAACCCTTGGGCCCCGAATATTAACAGTGCCAAGGTCGAAAACCTAGTTCTAGAGAAAAGGGTCTGATGTTTAGGGGCCTGCTCACCAGAGCACTGGCTTGCTGCCTCCAGAGGGACCCCCCGATACGTTCTCCCCGAACACACGGTTTAATTTAGCGTTTTATTGCTTCATCCATAAATAAAATAGCCAGCCAGGACCTCTGATGTTTGAGGAAAGCTTCCAACAGGGAGAGCGAGAGAAAACACACGCACGAAGGGGAAAAAACAAAGACAATATAGAGAATGGAAGACTGTTAAAACAAATAGACAAAAAATACATAAGCCTTTCAAAGGGGTAAGAGGGGGAGAACATGTCCATAGAGTAAGATTGTGAGATTATGAAAAAGGAACCATCAGGAAACAAGAATGAGTACTTGTGTGTTAACAATAGGAAAGCCAAAATTTAAAAAAAAAAAAATCAACAGAAGAGTTGGAAGATAAAGCAGGTTTCCCTAGGAACTAAACCCAAAAGGCAAAGGGAGGAAACATAAGAAAAAAATATTTGTTAACAAATGGAAGGTTAATCCAGTAGCCCAACAGGTACAGTAGAGGGGAGTTATGAAAGAAGGAACGCAAACTTTTCCCGAAACACAAGGACACAGAACACACTCCTCAGTGCAGCGGTGGGGAGCGCGGCCACATTCACTATGGATTTGAGCCAAACGCATGTCACGTCTGCGTTGGGAGGATGAGGTGTGGAGACCAGAAAGGGCTTTGTAACGAAGCACAATTCCCATTGAACCACAGGAAGTCCCCAGATGTCTGCAACTGGTACATCAAAAAACAGCAATACGCACAGAAATAGAAACTAATAAGAGGGTTGAAAGGGATACCTCTAGAGAGAGTGGGACTGAAAAAGCTGGGGAGGGGATTTGGATCCTGAGCCTCTCTGCACTCTTCATATTTAAACCACATGCACGCATTATTTTAATACATTCGAGCAAACAGACAGTAGTTGAAACGAGTATAGTAAAAAGCTGGCATGTGATGAAATTAATTTGTTTGGAAAATTCACTCATGTGGACAAGCCACGCCCTGAAAGTGCTCAATAAATTGGCGCTGTTGAATGTGAGCCGCGTTAATGCTGCGTTTCTCCTGGTGGCGCCGAGCAGTGAGGCAGGGTGGGGGTGGGGATGTGTGGGGGGTGGGAGCCAGCACGGCAGCCCTTAGGCAGTCACTGGCTCCCTTTCCCAGCAGGGTATATTCACCTGGGGATCCTGCTCTTCAGTGTGGACCCTACCAGGCTGCCAAAGAGAGAGAGGAGCTTGTGGTCCTTACAGGAGGGCTTCTGGGAATTCACGAGTATCGTGTGTTGGTTTGATATGCCTTGTTTATGACTCGGCTGATGTTGTTTTAATTCACCTGTTTATGGCAAAGGGGAGGAAAGCTGTTTTTTGGAGTGTAGTCGGTTTGACATAAGAATGAAGTGAGTTGGGTCCGATGCCCTCACCACCAGGAAGTCATCATCTGTCTCGTTGATCAGCACTCGGCAGTAACTGGATGTCTGGGAAGCCCTGCCTGGGGCTCAGCCACACGGACGGACGTGCGGAGCAGCCCTGGCAGCCAGTGGACGCGCGGACGTAAATGTTGCAAGTTTCTGAGGAGTATCTGGGCGTTTTGATCTGGGCAAGGCAATTCTTTGCGGACTTAAAACCTCTCTGAAGACTTTTGGGGCATAAGTTCTTGCCTCTGTGAAGGTGACTCTGATTGACAGCAACAAAAGCCATGCAGTAGCCAAGAGGGAGATCACCTTGCCCTTCAAACTGGCACCATTGTCTCCTAGCTGTGTGCTCCAGCAGCAAGGGACTCTTACTCTCTGCACTGGCAGCTGGACACCAGCGCTCAGTTGGCTGAGCATAGAGGTGCACTTCAATTAAACTTGGACTTTTCCCCTTTTATCTCCCCTTGCCTGGAACATGAGTATAATTAATCCATCCTTGCCCTTGATCATGGTATTTTTACTGACTTATTAAGAGATATTAACCTGTGTGCTATTGGTTCGTGCAATTCCCTCAGTGAACCTGTGTTAAATAAACTACTAGCAAAGAGAATCCCAGTCTCTGAGCAGGATTTTACTCCCCAAAACCAAACAACTGGGATTCCCTGCCTCTCCTACTCTGGGCATGGACAAAGATCCCGGGTTTCTAAGGGTGGGTGAGGGGCCCAGTGCCGGTTGGAGCCTTAGGACCCCGCTGGGATGTGTCGGAGGGAGGTTGCCTAGCAGCCAAAGATGACCACACACACTCAGTGTCACTGACCGGACAGGTGGGCCTCCAGGCACTAACTCTCCTGGCAGGGGTGCCCCAGCCCAGGAGTGGCAGCAGTGGGCACCATGCCTGCAGGCTCTTGAGCCTCACCTCCGAGGTGCACCCTTCGGGCACCAGCCCTCGGGCCGAACAGATTTTTCTGTTGTCCTTTTCCTCACCCACTGCTTTTCCTGTTGCCCCTCCTCCTGCCTCTGCCCCAGTCCTCCAGAGCCTGCCCGCCAATGGCACTGCAGTGTTTTATTTTTATTTTTGTAACCTTTTCCATTGTTACTTCCTTTTTAAAGTTACATCATCGTTATATAAGTATTCCATGTAGAAAAGTAAGAAAAAGTTGAAAATCACTCCTAATTCTACCAGCCAAATAAGAAAACAAAACAAAACACTATTTGTTTATAAATTTCCAGAATGTTTCTAGGTCAACACACAGGTAAGTACACTATTATTGGCCCATATCTCATCTGGGTACCCACCTGCGAAGCACTCCCCATGCGCCCAGACCCTGTGCTGGGGCTTCAGCTGTGTGAATCCCACCGAATCCTCACGACCTGGGAAGCTGCCGCTGCTGCTGCTGCTATGCCGTTTCCGCAGCAGGAAGCAGACACAGGGAGGTCACATCACTTGCCTGAGTTCCCAAACTGGTTACAAGGCTGATCTGGATCTTCGCCCTCCAGGCTGAGTCCACAGCTTTTTTCCTTTGCATGTTTTGGAAGCTTTTTCCAGTTTTCTTTTTCTTGGTTTGAACTTAGCCAACATCCTTCTTGTGAATAAGTATACACCTCCGTCATTTGGAGGCATAACACTCCCTCTGTGGGTGTGCCAGGTTTTAAATGGCCAATTTCATTTTGCTGGACTTTCTGCACTTTCCTATTGAAAACAATGCAGTTATAAATATCTTTGTACGTACACCTTTGCACAATGTGATAGCTTTCTTTTGTTGTTTTTCTTTAAAGATTTTATTTATTTATTTTTAGACAGAGGGGAAAGGAGGGAGAGAGGGAGAGGAACATCAATGTGTGGTTGCCTCTTGTGAGTCCCCTACTCGGGACCTGGCCTGCAACCCAAGCATGTGCCCTGACTGGGAATTGAACCGGCGACCTTTTGGTTCACAGGCCAGCACTCCACCTACTGAGCCACACCAGCCAGGGCTGATTATTTTCCTAGGATCAACTTCGGAGGGTGACATTGCTTGGTCAAAACCTAGACACATTTTTCTTTAATTTACTTTTTAAAAAGATTTTATTTATTTATTTTTAGAGAGAGGGGAAGGAAGGGAGAAAAAGAGGGAGAGAAACGCTGATGTGAGAAACATCAGTTGGCTGCCTCTCCCACATGCCCTTGCTGGGACCCCGAATCCTACCCATGTGCACTGACCGGGAAGTGAAGCAGCAACCTTTCACTTTGTGGGATGAGGCCCTACTCACTGAGTCACACTGGTCAGGGCTGGACACATCTTTAAAAGCTGCCCCTTTCCGCTCACATCAGCTGTACACAGCAGCACACGTTTCCCCACATCCATTATTTACTATTTTTAGTTTTTAAAATTTGGACTGTGACTTAACACAGACTCAGAGGACCTCCATGATGGAAGCATCCTAGTATATCCCTCTAGATCTAGAACCAAACCAATATACTTAAAAAAAAAAGCCCCAGACACCCCGCCAAGGCCTGCCCTGATTTCAGCAGGCAGGGCAGAACCTGAGGGGGGGGGGGCACTGAGGGGCGGGGCCTGGAGGTGGGCGGAGCAGGAGGCCGGGGCGCAGGCCTCCAGCGGTTGGCTGGGGGGAAATCGCAGTGCTTTCCCCGTCTACTGACTGCGCAGGTAACTCAAGGATCCACCCTTCCATGCGAGCTGTCCTCACTGTCCCCAGTGCCCAGGCTCTATCCAGGAAGTCAACGCAAGTCTCTTGGACGTTCACTTTATCCAGCTGCCAACGCTTCAGTACTCTGGTCTTCCCTGAATCCCTTCCAAGGCCCTTTAAGTTGAGAAGTCCCAAAGGAGACACAGTCGTATTGTTCTCTCACCTGGCCACTGCTTTCTTCCAATAGGCCACAAACTCTGGCACCTAGAAAAAAGGGGGAGGGAGTAAATGACTGGGGCAGAGCACCGAGGGAGGCCTCTGGCTGGAGCAGAATGGGTGGAAACTGAGTGA